TCTCTCTCTCTCTCTCTCTCTCTCTCTCTCTCTCTCTCTCTCTCTCTCTCTCTCTCTCTCTCTCTCTCTCTCTCTCTTCTTCTTCGCCGTGGTCTTCTTGCAGATGCGCGGCGGCTTCTCCAACCTCAGGTCCGCTATGGTGGACTATATCCCTCGGCGGCCACTTCTGCTATGGCGCGTCAGGCCCTGCACACAACGGCGCGCATGGAATAGCGGGTACCAGCTCCGATACCAATGCAATCAGACTCGTTGACATTTACGTGCCCATTTGCGTGAAAACGCAAAATACGTAGCCCGTGTGACCCAAAAAATCACCTATGATTTATGATTCTATGAAAATGCGTGCTAGTGTTAGTATGTCCTAATTTGGACCACTTCCCGATTTATGCGCATCATTCTTCAATGTGCAGGCGCCATCCTAAACTTCTCTGTATCGTTCCAATTTCAATGGATGTCCTGAAAACTGATTAAAACCGTTTAATTACTTTTGATTTGAGCGACTTCATGTTGTGGCACCCACAGGCCCTGCTTGCCGATGCCGCTTAGCTGTATGTGAAAGGTACAAACCATGGTTACCCAAGACACAAACGATGCCACCCGGCTGAATGACAAGGGTACAAACCATGGTTACCCCAGACACAAACGATGCCACCGGACTGTATGTGAAAGGTACAAACTATGGTTACCCTAGACACGAACGATGCCGCCTGGCTGTATGTGGAAGGTACAACCCCAGACACAAACGATGCCGCCCGGCTGTATGCGAAAGGTACAAAGTTACTACGAACCATGGTTACCCCAAACACAACCGATGCCGCCCGGCTGCATGTGAAAGATGCGAAGTTGCAACAAGGGGCTGCGCTCCCAACAGTCTAGATCCTGACTGTCGGGATGGCATCTGTATGTCCGGGTTGATCCAGACAAGGGGCTGCGCTCCCAAACCCTCTCTCCCAAAAAAAAAAAGCACGACACCGGCGTCTTTTTCCCCTTGGATTCACCTATGGGGTTGAATTTGACCTCAATAACGTCCAGAGCTCAGTAGAAGAAGTCCTTGTGTGCGTATGCCCTGAGATGGAGCGCGCCTGTCCCTCCTGTCGAGATGACCCTCAGCCAAAGGTTGTTTGCTTAGCAATGCGTTCTTCCATTTTTTTGGTGTAATTTACTAATTTCTTCGACCGATTGTGTAAGTTGTAATTGACGATAAATAAGTTCAAATAATAGAACACCCAAAGTCCGAATCCCGTCGAAAAACATAAAAAAAAACCCACTTCCTTGCTCCCAGGACATTCATACAAAAGACAAAATTAATGTACACAACGTTCTAGATACAGCGATAATGACCGGGCATCAGTGTTGCACACCCCGACCGTCAGCGACCCTTGACTGGTCGGCTGCCAACCCGCCGATCGGTCAGCTGGTCGGCACCTACTGGTCGGGGGTCGTCGGCACCCCGAACAAAAAAAAAAGGGTCCAGAACCCCTAACAAACCCCACCAACACCCCCATACCCGCCCCATATACCCCCATACACCCCCCAAACACCCCAAACCGCCCCCCAACACCCTCATATCCCCCCACCCCATACCCCCTATACCACCCCTATACCCCCCTATATCCCCCTATATCCCCCTATACAAGCCCCCCCCCCCTCCCCCCCGGAACCCCCCCATTTTCTCAGCAGATTTCGGCTGTACTCAGCAAGCGCAGTACAGCTTCCAACTCAGATCTGAAACAAAATCAGTGGATGGCTGTTTTCTGACTGGTCGGCAGACCGGTGACCGGTCGGCCCTACTGGTCCTCTCCAAAACGGTCGGCGGTCGGGGTCGGCGGTAGGCAGGTATGCAAACCATGTCGGGCGTTCCATTTGGGTGAAGACGGGAGCTCGTGCAGCTTTCATGCGTTCAGCTCGTAGCAGCAACGCAGCATCCCTTCGTCTCAAGATACCATACTCCCATCTTCCCCAGAACATAAGGCAGATGCGTTGTATTCGAGTTTTCAAAAAATTAAAAAATTTGAATCGAACATGCATGAATCGTATTCGACAATCAGAGCTCTTTGAACAGTACGCATGTGCGTCGTATTCGAATAGAAAGCAACCTATGGGTCCTATATTCGTTTACGGCGCATATGCGTTACGTTCGGGTGAAGATGGTAGTGCGTTAGCAGGCATTGTCCCGCCGTCCCCGTGAAGAGATCGTCATTAAGGAGAGAAAACGGCCACGAAACCAAGTGTGAACGTATTAAATAAATTACCTGCCACTGTTACCTTGAGTGAGGAGTCTGCAGTTCTTGACTCCGGCCTTCGGTCCCTGCACACACTGCCATTCCTGCTGTGATTTGTGTGGCTTTCCGTGTCTTCCGTGTCCCTGGAACTGTCATCTTCAGAGCTTATCCCAGCCATTGGATTCTGCTCCATCATTGAAGGATCTGGCAATCAGTCAGATGCAGAAAACAGACAGCTGTAGCAATGTCAAGACGTCACCAGTAAATGCAATAGGCACACACACCCCTTTTCCAAAGCTTATCTGAAATAAGCCCGGGCTCTTCTCTCAAACGAGCTCGTAAATGCAATAGGCACACACACCCCTTTTCTTCCGTGAGGAGAAGACCGGCACCAGGGAGGAAGAGGTCACTGGACAGACAAAAACTCCTACAGCTGGCAAAAGCCAAGAGAACCCCTTTCCGTCCTACCGCGCGAAAAGAACTATGTTATGATGTGCGAAGGCACGTTAGACAAGACGCCCTGAAAGTTAATATGTGTCTCTCCATTGGTGATGCGTCGAACAACTGACAATCTGGTGTGTCCAACAATCTCGCACGTAAACTTCGAGCCAGTCTCGCCGATCGACACAATTGTTGGCCGTTTGATTCAGGCTTGCCCCTGATCAATACAATTGTGTTGGCCGTTCGAGCCAATCTTGCCGATTGATACAATTGTTAGACATTCAACGAAAAGAGTGTGTTCATAAAAATAAAAATAAAAAACAGAGAGAGAGTGTTAAACAGCTTTTCTGTCGGAGACCTAACCAATCTTTCCGCTGAACAGCAACCCGGCTGCTTACAATCAAACAACTAACACAATTGCCCGTTGCCCGTGCGTAAACAAGCTCACAGAATGTATTGATAATTTGATAACAATTGACAGCCATCTATAACAAATCTACCACTTGTGTTGTTCACTTGTTAGACATGTCAGTGCGGACAATTTCGGAACGAGCCTCAGATGATCGCAAGAGCAGAAAGAGCGTTCTGGAAGCGAAATTCAATCCCAAAACCAAGATGCAACAACAAAATGAACGATACCACCTTTGTCCCCTCCTCTCCCAACCATGCAAAGAGATAAGATAACATGCTCATCATTTCTGTACCTGACACTATAGTTGTGTCTACATTACCTTCACAGAACCCATACATTCAATCGAGTCATGGACGACATGCCAACAACACCCCAAAAAAAAAGGTCCTAAGTGCCTGTACTGAACCCAGTCTGGCAGATACTCAGAAGTCGTCAAACATCAGTAATCTCATTATCTGCATCAAAGTCTCCAAATCGTGAAGTGATATCTCAAACAGTATCTCATCACCATCAAAAGAAGAGAGTGGAGCGGGAACAGACAAAGGAGAAGATGAAAAAAGATCACACAGAAATAATCCCCTCAGACCCCTCTCCTTCTCCGGGCTTCTTCCCTCTCCACGTCAACAATGATAATAAGTATATTCCAGATCACACACAATAGTGCCACGTGGCACTTTATCTCGTGAAGACCATGAAGACATGCAGATTCCAGTGACGACGTCAACCTCAGGTGAGTACCCGACCTCCTTCATCCACAGATCCCGATCTTCCTCCTCCTTGCAACCAGTCACATCATGTAGACAGCGTGGACAATGCCACGTCAGCAGTCGAAACAGGTGGCATATGCCACATCATCAATGGAGACCAGAGGCAGCGCCACATCAGAATGTAGACAAGTGGTAGCGCCACATCAGCATGCACTGCAAACCAGAGGCATCGCCACATCAGCATGCAATGTAGACCAGAGGTAGCACCACATCAGCATGCAATGTAGACCAGAGGTAGCGCCACATCAACATGCAATGTGGACCAGAGGTAGCGCCACATCAGCATGCAATCTAGACCAGAGGTAGCGCCACATCAACATGAAATGTAGACCAGAGGTAGCGCCACATCAGCATGCAATGTAGACCAGAGGTAGCGCCACAGCAGCATGCAATGTAGACCAGAGGTAGCACCACATCAGCATGCCACCTCAGCAAGCCTGGCGCACAATGCAGAAAGCGCCAGCATGCTGCCTCCACCTCGTGTTGTCGTCCGCATCGCTAGTGCACAGCCAGCGTCTTGCCAGCGTCGAGCCAGCATAATGCCAGCGTCTAGTCAAAGTCGAGCCAGCGTCAAAGCAGCATAGCAAGACTGAATGCTTGACTCACTCAAGGCCAGCCTAAGTAACAGTTGTCGAGGCTGTCCGGCCTCAGGTGTTTTCCCCACAGTCGTCCAGATTGACTCACAGCTGAGGGCCCGGATTGTACAGTTGCAGACTTCTCCCTTGGACCTGATGCTGTCTGGGTACCTGCATACAAACAAGTGTGTGTGCTTGACCAGTGGCCTGGGCTAGGTACCTTTGGACTTTGACTGTTGGGGTCACGACAGTTGACCAAAGTCAACTGTCACACGTCCAGGCCCTGAGTCTTTGTTTGGGGTCCTTTTTGGCCCCGTTTCGGCCTGGGCTGAGGGCGGCCGAGTTGGCCCGCAGTCTTTCCACGAGACATATGGCATGGGTTATTGCATGCCAAATTCAGTAAAAAAAATCATAAAGCAGAAGGCACAGCAGGAGGGAGAGGACAAGGAAGATGAGAAGGTAGAGAAGGAGGCAGAGGAGGAGGCACAGGAGGAGGCAGAGGAAAAGGTCGAGGAGGTGGGAAAGAGGAAGGAGGCGGCGACGGAGGACGACAGACGGAAGAAGAAGAAGAAGAAGAAGAAGAAGAAGAAGAAGAAGAAAGAAGAAAGAAGAAGAAGAAGAGGAAGAAGAAGAAGTGGAAGAAGAAGTGGAAGAAGAAGTGGAAGAAGAAGAAGGAAGAGGAGGAGGAGGAGGACATGGCATAGGAAGACATGGCACAGAGGAGGAAGAGGAGGAGGTCGATTAAACTCTCTCAAGGAAGTCGTTGGACACATACCAGCAGGCGATATAGCAGAAGGATCAGCTCTGCTCAGCTCAAATCCGAATTTTCTCCATGGTGATTCCGGCATAAGCTGAGTGTCCTGCTGCACTGTGGAATTCCCGCTGGATGCTTTGCTACCATTCTGTCTCATTGCAAGGTTGGTCGCTGCAGCTGCTCGCCACTCTGGCTTCATTTCTGCAACATCACACACCTGGGAGAGGAGAAACAGCCGCCACAGCCCCCCAACAGACAGGCAACACAAATGCCCTGTTAATAAATAAATATCATTAAGCCTGATTAATAAATGAAAAAAAGTATATATATGGTGTCCTTTGAGACATCCATCAAAATTGGGAACAATAGAGAGAAGATTACCATGATTAGAAAGGGGGGGGGGGCGCGAAACATATAATATGGCAATAGGAGCGAGGGGAAGGGGCCCTCCGTTCCCTCCCCCTTGAATAGAAAGGAGCGAAAAAATGGACCGAGGGGGAGGAGGGAGGAGACTCAGCGAAGAGCGGCAAACAAGGCGGCGGCCATCCACAATGGGGAGCTCAAAGAGAAAGGCATGCTTCAGAAAGTGGCGTCTTGACTCCTGAGATAGTAGATACGCGGGGGGAGCAAAATGAACAACAGATTTGAAGATACCCTTTTAAGAGCATACTCACACTCCAACTTTCCTGGACGTATCTGAGCACAATTAAGGTCAGATTCAGTCTAGGAGAGACAGGTTTGAAAATACTGGAGGAGGTTCAATTACGAGCCTGCACACTCTAACTATCCTGGATGTATCTGAGCAGAAAGAAATCCGGGTTCAGTCAAGAAAGCACAGGTCTGAATTTTTCTGAAGACTCTGAAGAGTCTGAACATATTTGAAGAGACCCTGTTAAACCATCAGTACTTGGCCCAGTTATCAGCCGCGGAAAAAAATAGAGTAGAAACGTTTCCGGTCGGATGAATTTGATTGCTCATGTACTAGCCCGTACGTTTCCTAAAATTGTGGCGCTTTAATGGGCACGACTCTAGGAAATACTGGTGGTTTAAGAGCATACTCACACGGGAATTTTCTTGACCGCATCTGACCATATTTAAGGCCATATTCATTTCAGAAATTGCAGGGCTGAGTACCTTCCCTGGTTTGTACAAGCACCTTCATTCGTCAATAATTTTTTTCAGTACTGAATTATTTGAAGAGCAGATTGATAACCATTCGGTCACCAGACTCACCACTACAACTACTTTCCACTACTCTCGACATGTGCAAAACGAGGGTGAATATTCCACAACAACATGGAAGGATACACCAACATGATTTTTGTATTTTCTGCATATCGAAAGTACTGGACAAAGCCGCATATTCGCACGACGACTTGTCCTCTTTTTTTCTGGAAGCAATAGTGGCCACATCCACCAAGTTCGGGCTCTGAATGGGGTCAGTGACATATAAGGGCCAGATGGACGTGTTTGTGGAGAGGTGCAAAAAACTGTGATTGATCTGCGTTTCTGCATCTGTGTGTGGAACATGCCCAGATTCAGCCACTTATTGCAATCCTCTTTGCCAAATAGTGGTGGTGTGAATGCCCACCTTTTTTTTTCTTTTTTTTTCCCAAACCCGTCAGAAGACCCCGACCCTTTCTTCGTAGGATTCGACCTGGGGCCTCTGTATCCAAGCTTGATTGGTGTACTGTTCAGCCACATCCGCTGGACTTTCTTTCTTTTTCTTGTTTTTTTTTGTTGGGGGGGAGGGGAAGTTGGCCCTCACGTTGCATCAGCCACCTACACTTCAGCACGCATTGTGCCACCCGGTCCGCATACTACGCCCCACCCCACAACTGTCCCACATCGTGCTGTGTTTTTTGGGCCTTTTTCCTCTTGCGGGGTCATTTGGACCGCCGCATCACATATGTGTGTGTGTGTGTGTGTGTGTGTGTGTGTGTGTGTGTGTGTGTGTGTGTGTGAGAGAGAGAGAGAGAGAGAGAAAGAAGAGGGCGAGAAACATGAGTGTGTCCCTCCCTCTGGACGCTCGACCTGCCGCGCCTCTGACTTGTTTGCATAATTTGTAAACATCCTTTGATGTGATTGAGCATAGAGAACAAAGAAAAAGAAAAAGAACAAAAAAAAACCATAAAATCATACGAATGGTCACCACCATTTGTACCATTTTTCGGAGAAATGCACTTGCAAGTACTGAGTCCACTGACACATACCCACCCACTCAAAGTTGTTTCCGTGATGCACAACCGATGAAGGCTATCCAGATCTGATTCTGCTGCCGCGATAAGAGAAAGCGGGACATTATCTAAATCTTCTGCTGCATCCTCCTGTTTCACCCCCTCTTCCCTCCCCTCCATTCCTTCAGGCGGCGATACAACCCCTCCCCTCCACCTTCTGGCAGTATTGATGCATGCATCCGCAAATGGATTGTCGTGCCCAGCCAAGATGCAATCCAGAACATAATCTTGCCAACTGCATGTTACACCGGTGATAAACAACAGTGAAGAACAGCAACAACAGCACACCGCAGATCAGCACCACCATCACCAGCATCACCACCATAACCAACTTCAGCACTACAAGTGCTCAACAGGGAACATCCACCACCTTTTGCTGCATAGGTGAAACCCTGGTTTAGGGTTATCAGCAGCAGCAGCAGCAACGACGACGACGATGACGACGAGGACGACAATGACGGCGGCGGCGGGGGCGGCGACGGCGACGACGACGGCGGCGACGACAACAACAACGACAACAACAACGACAACAACAACGACAACAACAACAACGACAACAACAACAACGACAACAACAACAACGACAACAACAACGACGACGACGACGACAACGACAACAACGCAATGCAATGATCGCAAGAACACCATCGCAACAGCAACTAAGGCTCTGTTCCTGAGATTTCATTCTCTAATGGCTTTCCTTCCCGTTCAGGTCACTCGTCAAGCTTGGACTTGTCAATCTACTTGCCTAGCCCTGTCACAAAAAAGGAGGATTGAAGGTGGTGAGACTGATGCAGATGAAGTGCGGTATCTTCACCAAGCCCACAAGTTCAAGTTACCCTTCGCCGTAGATGTAACTTGGCCCTGTTCAAACTTTAAGGCGGTTAGGAGACACAGATACGTAGAATGCCTTCAACAACGAAAGGGCTCTGTAGCTTTTCATCAACGATGGCATGCATATGTGGCATGCCTTCGACATCAAAGGGGCTCTGTAGCTTTTCATCACGGGGTGAAGTACCTTGGCCCTTCCCTATACTACTAAAGCAAATAGCGGTCCTTGCGTGGGGCCCAACAGAAACCGGGCGGCTCCGCGCGGGTCCGGTCACGGGCAGCGGGCGAGGGCGAACCGGTGGAACACAGGGCAAGGGCCGGAGAAATGCTGGTGCGGGGGGCAAAGAGGAGTCTGTCGAACCGGTGGAACACGGGGCCAGGCCGGGAGAAATGCTGCAGCGCGGGCCGAGGAGGAGTCTGTCGTGGACTTGGATCGTCGCGCACTTCAGGACGAGGTAGCGGAAAGGAGGGCAGCGTGGGAAAGCGCTGAGCGACGTGTGAGGAGGGCGGGAAAACGGGCAGCCACGTGTGCCGACGTGAAATTGCAGCGGAAAGGACGGGAGCAGGTGGGAGGAGCGAAGCGGACGTGACAGAGACGAACGGAGGTGGCAACAGAAGTGGCGACGTGAAATGATGGAGGTGGAAGAAGCGAAGCGGAGGCGACAGAGAGGAATGGAGGTGAGGGCGACAAAAGTGTTTTAGGGTGACAGACGTGTGGAAGCACTATTTGCTGAATGGAGAGCGATTGCAGACCAGCTGTGGTCAGTGACATGTGACGTGTGGTTGTGAAACCAGACTTCCGCGAGCAGAGACTGATCGGACAAAATGGCTGACGAAGGAGCGACATTCTTTGTCATGTTCTGCGGTCACACCCAAGCCGTTTTCCATTGTGTTTCTGTTCCTTTTTTTCTTTCTCTCTCTCTCTCTCTCTCTCTCTCTCTCTCTCTCTCTCTCTCTCTCTCTCCCTGTCTTTCTCTTCGTCAGCTTGTGCACATCCATCTGCATTGGACAGCAACAGGGGGAGAGAGAGAGAGAGAGAGAGAGAGAGATTTCCATCGATAGGATGAGCAAAATGTAACGTGCTGCCCTCATGCTGAATGGGATGATCGGACACTCTCTCTCTCTCTCTCCCTCTCCCTGTCTTTCTCTTTGTCAGTTATTGCAAATCCATCTGCATTGGACAACGGCAGAGAGAGAGAGAGAGAGAGAGAGAGAGAGAGAGAGAGAGAGAGAGAGAGAGAGAGAGAGAGAGAGAGAGAGAGAGAGAGAGCCTCATGCTACTTCCTTGGATGGGATGAGCGAAATCGAATGAATTATACGCTGGAACATCAAAATATAAGAGAGATTTCTGTTGATAGGATGACCAAAATCTGACGCGCGCCCCTCATGCTACTTCGCTGGCTGGGATGACGAAAATTGAACGAATTTTCCAGTACAGCATCGAAATATGCACTCCATCAGCGCGCGCGCGCGCGTGTGTGTGTGTGTGTGTGTGTGTGTGTGTGTGTGTGTGTGTGTGAAAGAGAGAGAGATAGAGAGAGACAGATTTCCATCATTAGGATGACCAAAATCTGATGCGCGCCCCGAGAGAGAGAGAGAGAGAGAGAGAGAGAGAGAGAGAGAGAGAGAGAGAGAGAGAGAGAGAATGAGAGAGAGAGAGAGGAAGGGAGAGAAAGAAAGAGATACAGAGAGGGTGTTTCGATCGATAGAATGAGCAACACACACACACACACACACCTATTTCTTCAAGGTATTGACATGTTCGTCAAAGCTGGTGGGTGGCTCCTTCTCTATCTGTCAGATTTCGTCATCGCCACACTGACAGAAGAGAGAGAGAGAGAGAGAGAGAGAGAGAGAGAGAGAGAGAGAGAGAGA